TTCCCTTCTTTCAGTCTTGGAGCTAATACTTAAAAATGCTAACAATTGTTAATACGTATTAATAGCAATATGTATCTTGTTCTTGCACTTTATATTTACATGTTCTTAGAAAGGGAGAAATAAAAAGGAAAATGTTATTAAAAAAAAAAAAGACATGAGTAAATCTCAAGAGAATTATGCTGAGTAAAAGAAGTCAGACAGAAAGTGTTCATACTGCATGAGTATATCTATATAAAGTTCCAGAATACACAAACTAATTTATAGGGATAGAAAGCAGATCAAAGGTTGTCTGGGAAAGTATGACTGCATGGAAGACTGGGAGGCAGGGGACCAAGAAAGTTCATGGGGTTGATGAATATGCTTATATCTTGACTTAAGTGATAATTTTATGGGTGTGTACATTTGCCAAGACTTACTAAATTGTAGACTTTAAACGTGTCAGCCTACTGTATGTCAATTATACCTCAATAAAGCTTTAAAAAAAATTCTAACAAATTTGAATGAAAAGTAAGCATACTCCAACTATATGACCCAGCCATTTTGCTTCTAGCTAAAGAAATATATGATTTTACAAAAATTAATGCACAAAAGAGAATGCACAAATATTCATATTAGCTTTATAATAGGTAAAGACTGGAAGCAACCTGGATATTCAACAGGTGAATGAATCAACAAATTGTAGTACATCCATACAATGGAATACTACTCATCAAAACACATGAACTATTTCTGCACTATTGGTGCACTCAATACCATGGATGTATTTTTTAAAAATTATGCTGAGTGAAAAAAGACAAAACGGTGTATGCCATATGATTCCATTTATGTTAAACTCTAATAAATACAAACAAACTTAGAGAGAAAATAGAATAATGGGGACTGGGATTGGGTTTGCAGAAAAGGATTACAAACAGGCACAAGAAAACATCAAGAGTGATGAGTATGTTTACTATTTATTTATTTATTTATTTATTTATTTATTTTGAGATGTAATCTCCTTCTATTACACAGACTGGAGTGTAGTGGTACAATCTTGGCTCACTGCAACCTCTGCCTCCCAGTTCAAGTGATTCTCTTGCCTCAGCCTCCTGAGTAGCTGGGATTACAGGTGCCCACCACCACACCCGGCTAATATTTGTATTTTTAGTAGAGACGGGGTTTCACCATGTTGGCCAGACTGGTCTCGAACTCCTGACCTCAGGTGATCCACCCATCTCAATCTCCCAAAATGCTGGGATTACAGATGTGAGCCACCACACCCGGCCACATTTACCATCTTGATGGTTTCCCAGGTGTCACACGTATCAAATACAGGCAGACTTCATTTTGTTGCACTTCACTTTATTGTGCTTTGCATATATTGCATTTTTCTTTATTTGCAAATTGAAGGTTTGTGGCAACCCTGCACTGAGCAAGTCTACTGGGACCATTTTTTCAAAAGCATGTGCTCACTTAGTGTCTCTGTGTCACATTTGGGTAATTCTTGCAATATTTCAAACATTTTCATCATTATTGTATCTATTAGGGTGACCAGCAATGAGTGATCTTTGAGTAATTGTTTTGGGACAGTATGAACGGTGCCCATATTAGATGGTGAATTTAAAAAATGTGTGTGTTCTGATTGCTCCACTGACTGGCTATTCTCCCATCTCTCTCCCTCTCCTTGGACCTCCCTATTCAATGAGACTCAATAATATTGAAATTAGGCCAATTAATAACTTTACAATGTCCTCCTAGTGAAGGCGAGTGTCAAGTGAAAGGGGAGTTACGTGTCTCTCACTTTCAATTAAAAGCTAGAAAATCCTAAGGCCCTTAATTACATTAAATCTACTCTACCCATGCTCTACCAATACAACAACAAAGCCTGGGTGACAGCATATCTGTTTATAACATGGTTTAATGAATATTTCTAAGCCCAGTGCAGAGACCTGCTACTTAGAAAAAAGAAGAGATTCCTTTCAAAATATTAGTGATCATTGACAATACACTTGGTCACCCAAGAGCTCTGATGGAGATGTACAAGGAGATTAATGCCGTTTACATGCCTGCTAACACAACATCTAGTCTGTAGCCCCTGGATCAAGGAGTAATTTCAACTTTTAAGTCTTATTATTTAAGAAATATATTTCATAAGACTATAGCTGTTATAGACAGTGATTCCTCTGACGGATCTTGGCAAAGTTAGTTGAATACCTTCTGGAAAGGATTCACCATTCTAGATATCATTATAAATATTCGTGATTCCTATAAGGAGGTCAAAATATCAACATGAACAGGAGTCTGGAAGAAGTAGATTCCAATACTCCCCGATGACTTTGAGGGGTTCAAAACTTCCTTCAGTGGAGGAAGTCACTGCAGATGAGGTGAAAATAACAAGAGAACTAGAATTAGAAGTGAACCCTGAAGATGTGACTGAATTGCTGCAATCTCATGATCAAACTTCAACAGATGAGGAGCTGCTTCTTATGGGATATGAAAAGAGTTTTCTTGAGATGGAATCTATAGCTGGTGAATATGCTGTGTTTATTTTTGAAATCACAATAAAGGATTTAAAATATTACATAAACTTAGTTGAGAAATCAGAGTCAGGGTTTGAGAGGATTGATTCCAATTTGGAAAGAAGTTCCACTGTAGGTAGAATGTTATCAAACAGCACCACGTGTTATAGAGAAATTTTTCATGAAAGTACAATCGATCGATGTGGTCAACTTCACCGTTGTCTTATTATAAGAAATTGTCACAGCCACCCCTACCTTTAGCAACAACCTGCCTGATTACTCAGCAGCCATCAACACTGAGGCAAGATCCTCCACCAGCAAAAAGATTATGACTCACTGAAGGCTCAGATAATTGTTAGCAAACTTTAGCAATAAAATATCTTTAATTAAGGTATGCAAATTGTTTCCTTAGACATAATGCTATTATACACTCAACTACAGTATAGTGTACACATACCTTTTATGGAATCCAATACATTCATGTGACTAGCTTTATTGTGTTATTTGCTTGGTTGCGGTGGTATGGAAATGAGCTTGAAATATCTCTGAGGTATGCCTGTTTATGTTTCATATCAAAACTTGTATCAAATTGTATATTTTAGATATATATATAGTTTATTGTCTGCCAATTACAATAAACTACAATAAAGCTATTAAAAATATGGCGAATCAGCTGGGTGCGGTGCTCGCGCCTAAAATCCCAGCATTTTGGGAGGCCAAGGCAAGTGGATCACGAGGTCAGGCATTCAAGACCAGCCTGGCCAAGATGGTGAAACCCTGTCTCTACTAAAAATACACATACACAAAAAATTAGCCAGGCATGGTGGCGGGCACCTATAATCCCAGCTACTCGGGAGGCTGAGGCAGAGAATTGCTTGAACCCAGGAGGCAGAGGCTGCAGTGAGTTGAGATCGCGCCACTACACTCCGGACTGGGCGGCAGAGTGAGACTTCGTCTCAAAAAAAAAAAAAAAAAAAAAAAAAAAGACATCTAAAATGCAGATCTGACCATGCAGCTTCCATACTTAAAATGCTCAAAATGCTTCAACGTTACCTGTCACATGTGGTCAACGTCTGGCACAATACGGCAACAACTTTCTGCAGCCTCATCCTCCATTTTCCCTTCTCCTACCTTGTAAGTATATTCAGCTCTGACACATTTTGCCTCTACACCATTTCATTGCTTTGGTCATGCCGTTCCTCCTTCTGGGATGTGCTCTTTTTTCTGATTTCTTTAAAATCCCTACTCCTCCTATAGGGTCTAGCTCAAATGCTTTTCCTATAAAACCTCTCTGGATTCTCATTGCTACTTAAATGCTTTTTCTTCTTCAGACCCCATAGCATTTGTACTTATTTCATGATTTCCATCATAGGCTAATCTTAATTTCCCAGCACAGTGATTTGCATGTGTTTAAGTTCCTGACAAGATTTTATTTTATTTTTTTGAGAAAGAGTCTTGCTTTATTACCCAGGCTGGAGTGCAATGATGCCATCTTGGTTCTCTGCAACCTCCACCTCCCAGGTTCAAGCGATTCTTCTGCCTCAGCCTCTTCATTAGCTGGGATTACAGGCGCACACCACCACACCCGGCGAATTTTTGTATTTTTAGTAGAGACAAGGTTTCACCATGTTGGCCTAGCTGGTCTCAAACTCCTGATCTTAAGTGATCTACCTGCCTCAGCCTCCCACTAACAACATTTTAAAACTCTTTGAGGGCAATGACTCCTCTTTATTAATCTGTATATCCCCTGCAACCCAAAGCACAAAGACTTACTAGTAATAGGTGCTTTGTAAATATTTTTGAGTTGAATTGGATAATTTAACTTCTAAGTGACTTCATCCTAAATTTAGCTTTTCTGTCCACTCACCTACAAAGAAGTGTATGAATATGAGCAAGGATATTTGAATACCATACATTGAGCTACCCTCATAATAAGCCGTAGTGACAATGCAGGCAGCTTCTCTAAGTGAGAGTTTCATGTAAAATTAAGAAAATATTCTCTAATCTTTGCTGGCCCATAGTTTGCTATTAACATCGTCTTTGGGCAATGAATGGAAAATTTGGCTCACAAAAATCAGAAAATGCTAAACTTCTAGACAGGTAAACTCTTACACAATAATTAATTAAATCCAATAGTTCCTGCTACACTCCCCAAACGAAAAACATTGTCATAGAATGCTACCCATTATCCCCACCAAAAACTAAGTTCTGGGGCTGGACATGGTGGCTCAGGCCTGTAATCTCAGCACTTTGGGAGGCTGAGGTGGGCGGATCACCTTAGGCCAGGAGTTTGAGGCCAGCCTGGCCAAGATGGAGAAACCCCACCTCTACTAAAAACATGAAAATTAGGCAGACATGCTGGCGTATGCCTGTAGTGCCAGCTACTCAGGAGGCTGAAGTTAGAGGATCACTTGAGCCCGGGAGGTTGCAGTGAGCTGAGATCGTATCACTGTACTCCTGCCTAGGCAACAGAGCAAACAAAAGAAACAAAACAAAATATACACAAAAACCACCAAGTTCTGTATCCTGGTTAGCTTAAAGGGAACTGTGGGGCATTTTCAATAAAAAGATTTCTGTTTCTGAGATTATACCCCTCGGGTACCTGGACTCTTCTGAGGTTTGGGTTCCATGATGGCTGTGTGTCCTCCCCTGTCAAAAGGAAGGGTTAGTGTTAGTCCCCAAACAACAGCATGTGTGTTTCATTGACCAGCCACCGCTTCAGTGAGTATCGGGATTGTTCTCATGAATGTTGCTGAGATGGGTTATGAGTTTCCCATTCCCATTCTTTCTTTAGTATTTCCCTCCCTGGGCCTCAGGCTGACAGTAGCTGTGGTAACGGGGACGCATCCAAGCAGCTTGTCCTCACTCAGTGGGTGGTTCTGTGGAGGTGTTGTTGAGATGACTGAAGGAGCTGTCTTCCTTCGACTTTCTCTGTTCTTGCTGCATAAGAGGCTTTGATAAGAGAGCTAGGGGATGGCAACACCAAGAAGAGATAAGAACAGGGCAAAGGGCAGGATGCCATGGAGCCAATGCAGTCGAGAAAGCCTCACTGGCTTAGAGGAAGCCCAAGATAAGCCCTTCTCCATGCCAGAGGCGGCTCGCTTTCTCCAGGGAAAACTTAAGAATAAGGACTGCCAGGCATGGTGGCTCACACCTGTAATCCCAGCACTTTGGGAGGTTGAGGCAGGCAGATCACGAGGTCAGGAGTTCGAGACCAGCCTGACCAACATGATGAAACGCCATCTCTACTAAAAATACAAAAATTAACCAGGCATCGTGGTCCGTGCCTGTAATCCTACCACTCGCCTATAATCCCTCAGGAGGCTGAGGCAGGAGAGTTGCTTGAACCCGGGAGGCGGAGGTTGCAGTGACCCTAGATCACGCCACTATTTTTGAGCTGCTCTTTGTCAAAAAGCCAAAAAAATCATTTTTAAAAATAAAATATTTCTAAAGCCTTTAAAGTTTATGAAATGCATTTACATACTCTTTTTGCGTGTTTCAGAATGGTGTCATTCTGAGACAGCTCATTTTACAAATGAAATGCTGCATTTGAGAGAAGACTGAGGTGACTTGGACCTAGGTCCCCTGGCAGAACTCCACACAGCACCACATTCATGCTCATGGACACTCCCAAATAACATTTGCCCGCCCTGTACCCTGTGGATGTCAAAGTGTGCTTTGGAGGATATCTCTGTCCTTCCAGTGTCTGTGAAGTGCTCCGGAGTCATGTATTGTGACCATTCCTCGTTCATCTCCCCACCCACCATAAAAATGAGAGGACAGATAAGGCAGTAGGGTGTGGTGGTTTAGAGTGCTAGCTCTGGCATCTGGGTTTAAATTTCATCTCCATGAATTATGAGGAATGTGATCTTTGATACTTTATAATACTTCTCTACACCTCCATTTCTAATACTTCTCTACACCTCCATTTCTTCATCTGTAACATGAAGGTTATTACCACCCTCATCAGATTGTTGGGAGCATCACTGGAGACACCCTGTTGATGAGCACTCATCAGTACATAATAGAAGCTCAATAAATGCTAGTTGTTAGGTCCTTTCCAGCTCAGATATTCTATGATTCTATGGTTGTTTAATAATGGGTAGCATTTTTTGAGTACTTAATACATTCTAGACACTTCTAAGCAATATGTATATGAAAGATTTTATGTATATGTATTCATATAATTTCACATATATGTATACAATCTCATCCTATCCTCATAACCATACTCTAAAGCTTGCACTATTTTTACAATGATACAATGCCCATTTACAGATGAGAAAACGGTTATCGGAGAGATTGAACAACTTGCCTTTCATCATGTAATGAAAAAGAAGCATAACCAGAATTCTAACTTGAGAGCTGGCCTACTTTGTTCTTCCTCCTACCTAAGAAAGTAGAATTAAGTCTTGTCATAGTTCTGCTTGCATTTCTTGTCGTTGCCCCCAAACAAAAAGAAAACCTTTCTGATTTAGCTGTTTGATCTAATTCAGGAGAATCTCCCCACAATCACTGCCTAACCTATTTATTATAATATTATTTTGGATTTAGTGAATACAACATACCAAGAGGTCCGTCCTGTTTCCCTCTGACTCTAGTATAGCCTAGGAAGCTTATGAAGAAAGAGCCCATGGAAATACCGCATATCTGCAAAATTTTCCATTTCCAAATTTGCAATTGCTCAATTGCAAAAAAGCTTCTAGATCATCCCAGCCTTGGGAGTCCAAACCAGATACACCAAGCAGTACTTACGGGAAGCCAAGTGGTCGCTGGTCCAATGCTCAGGCAAGTGCCTTGTCCTGAAGATTCCTGAACTCCTGCTGACACTGAGGCTTGGTGCCTGGGTGAGGATTAAGCACAAACTGTGCTTGAAATCTGAACCACCAGGAAGTTCCCAAACTACTGTTCTTGGGCAGATTTTATTATCGCCCCAAACTGAAATGGAAGCTGTGCCCTCGGGGGAAGTTCTGGGGCTTCATACCTGTGGCTTGCCACAGAACCGCCTTGGTGTCCCAGCTGTCTAGCACGGGAAAATGATAAGCAAACATTTCATTTCAGAAATGAAAGCAAACAAATTAATAATAATAAAAAAATTCCTGCCAGACTTTGGACCATGGTTACAATAACCCTTATTGAGAACACTGTCAGTTTATCCTCAACCGTCTGCGGCGACTACCACTGAAAAAAATTCCCTTTGCCTCCCTCAGCCATATCTTAACCAACGTCTTCCTGGGAAGGATAGAAAGGGTTCCTTTGTACCAGATGAGGAAACAAAAAACCTGGTTTCTCTAACACACTTGTACATGCCAATGGTTTCCAGGAAGAGTTGCTCATTCAGCCATAACAGAGTGTTATCATCAACAGGGTGGCGCTAGGCATGTTCCCCTGTACAGCTGCCAGCAGCAATTGAATAAACCATCATGCTTAGACCTGCTGAGTGGTATCCAGCCACCAAAGTGTCTTAGGTATATTTTCATGTATATTACAAATTTCTAGGGAAGAGTAAGAAGTGACAATGGATTTTATCCTGTTCTACTACCTTTAGAAGTAAAAGTACATCATTTTAATCCTCATCCTCACGAGGGTAGCTGGCCTGGAATCAGCTCAGCCATGGATCCATTGTGTGGTCTTGGCAAGTTAACTGGAGTTCTCTGAGTCTGTTTCCTCATCTGCAAAATGGGACAGATAATACTGACTTCACAGGTTTTTTTTTTTTAAGTTAAGTAAAATTTCACATATAAAAAGCATCTAGCACAGTGCTTTATCCACAGTTAGCATTCAACAGAGGTTATTTCTTTGTTTTTCTCTTTTGCATCCTATGGAGGGTAGATGTTATTGGCTCCTTCATTTAGCAAACCTAGCTGGACTTCAGGCATACAGAAATTATTAATATATTATTTGCTTCCTGCACAGGATCAGTTTGGCTTGATTTAGGAAAAACAACTTCTTAAATTTGATATAGTTTGGATGTCCCCTCCAAATCTCATGTTGAGATGTAATCCCCAGTGATGGAGGCGGAGTCTAGCTGGAGGTATTGGGTCCTGGGGATGGATCCCTCATGGCTTGGTTCTGTGTCTGAGAGAGTGAGTGAGTTGTAGCGAGGTCTTTGTTTAAAAGTGTGTGGCATCTCCCCCAACTCTACTGCTCCCACTCTCACCAGGTGACATACCTACTCCAGCTTCACCTTCTACCATGCGTAAAAGAAAGCACCTTGAGGCCTTCCCAGAAGCTGAGAGATGCCAGCACTATGCTCCCTGTACAGCTGGCAGAGCCATGGGCCAGTTAAACCTCTTTTCTTTATAAATTACCAAATCTCAGGTATTTCTTTATAACAAGACAGAGAATGACCTAACAGCATTTCCTGGATGTTCTTTTAGGCCAACTTTTGACGATTCTGGAGATAGTATCTTTACATTAGATCTTTAATCAGATACTAGTTGTAGCTCTAAGTAGTTCATAAAAAGCTTGTACTGATTTCCACTTACTTGGGAACTATAAAGTCCAGACAGACCATTGTTATAATATAGAGACCTAACCAAAAAGGGGAAGAGGGAAAGTTACTGTCAGACTTGCGTTCCTTTGGAAAGGATACCTATGAGTCAGTTAGATGGGCTTTCCATCAGCAACCTGTTCATCTGTCTGTCCATCCACCTACCCACCCTTCAAACCCACCCTATTCTAGGCTTTTTTGTATTATTTTCCCATAGTATTACAAAACTGTTTGGGGGAAGAAGCCTAATAAAGCTATTTGTACTGTAGATGAACCCATAAAATAAAAACTGAAAAGCAAACAAAAACTGGCACAGACATCAAACACTAAACTTGTGAAACAAACATCCCTATGAAACACAAGTCTAGGTTTTTTAAGTTGTCTCCAATGACCTGTAAACAAGGTATGGATTACCTGTCGCAGTAAGCAATCGCCTGTTCATCTGAAAGATCAGATGAGTTATTTGACGACTTTGTTAATTGAGCTTCTCTGTCATGAAGATGCTCTTTAGTTCTGCTGCCTCTTAACCAAAACACAACTGAACAGTTTATATGGCATGGCAATACCTACTACTTATTGGGGATTTTTGTTTTGCATAGAATATCTCATTTAATTCTACCTTGTTGCAGAATAAATTTTATTATTCCTAATTTTAAAGGAGGAAATTTAAATTTAGAGAGATTAAATAACTAGCTAAGGATCATGTAGCTAGTAAGTGACCCACAGAAATCAGACTGGTCTGTCTTGACTCCAAAGCCTGTGTGTGTTCCTTCATATGCTACGCTATGTGAGTCCTGGGCTGAGATCAGTTGGCCTTACTCTCAGCCTACTCTGACTGTGTGACATTGCATAGGTTGCCAGATATTTGGGCCTTGTAATCCCATTACTGTCCTTCCCCAAAAATCTCTAAGTACCCATTCATCTCTGATTATGATTATGCCTTTGAGTCAAAGTCAAGGGCTTATCAGCGTGCAGGCCTTTTCACTCCATGCCGCATGCTCATTGTCCATGTGGATAGTAAATGTGTCCTTGTCAGTGACACTGGTAAAGGAGTGACATCAATCACATCACTTCAAAGCATCCTTACTATACCTCTTCTCTGGAACAAAGAATTCAAGGAAAGCAAGGAGAAAGCTGTACACAGAACAAAGTATTAACAAGGGTATCTTTTAGATTATGTTAAAAACGGTATCAAACCAAGACCTATTTTCTATTATCTGTTTGGTTGTGGTCTGAATCATCTGATGTTTGTAAAGAGAAAGGAACTGATGATATAAAGCATTTTGTATAATTTTATGTGATTCTCTTCCATGACTGATTTTGGAAATTGCTCTATGGTTAGGACTGTTTTAGCTGTTAAAAAAGAAAAAAAAAACCCAACACTCAACAATAGTGGCTTATAATTTATTTATCATACATCATGCAAGAAGTCTGGAGTGAAGCATTTCCAGACTTATTTTGATGACTCAGTGATGTCAGAACTAAGGTTATGTCTCCGATTTTCTTGGCCTTTTCCATACGGCCAGAAGTTGGCTGTCGTAAGTATCATGTTTCCACAACACACCATCGCAAGCAGCAGGGAAGTGTTGGGAGAAAATGAGCATTCTCCTTATGTGCTTTTCACTTCATGGAGAAAAATTTCTCCTACAAGTCCTGGATAAGACTTTCTCTTACATCTGATTGGATTGATCAGCTGTTACCTCAAGAAGACCAGTCATTGGCAAAGAGGAAATGAGATTTCATTGGCTTGCACCAATCGTGATAATTTCCCTTGCTATCTGAACAAAATTGGGGTTCTGCTAGCCACGAAGATGGAGCATAACTGTTGCAGATATTATCATCCCTCTCTCCCTCCATCATCCCCTGCCTCCCTCTCAAGATCGTTTCTAAGAACTCTTACTCCTGGTCTCTGCATGCTGAGCACCTTGACCTTTGTACGTGCTGCTCCCTCTCTCCGGCTCACTCTTGTCCTGTTTCTTCTGCTGGCTAACTACTACACATCCTTCAGTTCTCTCTCAGACATCACTTCTCAGTGACTCCTTCTCTCCCCAGACAAGGCCAGATTCTTTATGACACATTATCATGGTGCAGTGTTAACTTCAGTACCCATTTGCCATTTGTAATTTTAGATGCATTTGTCTGATTATTTGGTTAATGTCTGTCTCTTCCTCCAGAAGACTGTATAATCCATTAGTACTGTGTCTGTTTCTTCTGACCAGTGTATCTCCAGTAGCTAGCTTAAATGCCTATCCATTCTTTATTTACAGTGTGCCTACTATGTGCCAGGTGTTAGAGATAATAGAGAAATGGAAAGATTGGTGTTTTTTGAGAGCTCATAATTTGACCAGGGAGATCCAGAGAAAACTAACTTTAATACTCCATTAGTAATCCCTCCTACTTCACTTTTGTACCTCACTCTTATGATTACACTCTGGAACTACCCATTCTTGCATGACCTTTGATAACTTTGCCTCTGGTGCTCCACTTTCCAACTGCAATCTCCCTTCCTTCTATGCTTTACGTTTCTTCACTTCATCCTCTCCAAGACCTCAAGATTCTGGACCCTTCCTCGTTCTTTCAATATGTCTGCTGAGATCAATGTCCATTATCAGCTGAAACTGCCACTCTCTCAACCCCCTGCAAAAGGAGATAAAGTGGGCTGAACTTTGCACAAGAATAACCACTTATGGGATCAGGGTGAGCACCTTACCCTACGACTGCTTCTCTATTGGCTGGCTGTTGACCCAGGGAATGGCCTGACACAAAGAACTTTGCTCAGAAGACGCAATGGCAGTGAGCCAACCCTTGCTGAAATTTTCTCTTCTCTTTGCTTCCAGGTTACTCTCTCACTTGGTTCTCATCTATACTGATCTATTTCTTTGTTTCGTTTGCTGGGTTCTTTACCAGCATGCAATCCTTACTTTTTGGGGTCCCCAGAGTTCCTTCCTTATATACTGTGTTTCCTTACTTTGTAAGTATTTCTCAATGCTGCAAATACTGTGGGTCCATTGAGGTTGGTGACCGTAAATTTGGCAAGGTTCCTGATGTGTGATTTTCTCCAGTGGCCTTCAGCTGTTCAGGAGCAGGCATGGGGGAGCCAGGGCCTGGGGTTCATTTCAGCTTAGCATTTTTGCTAGGAAGATGCCATGGAAGGACAAAGGAGCAAGGGAGTTTAAGACACTTGCTAAAGAATGCTTGAAATGTTGACTTATGGAATCAGTGGGTCATAAGGAGGAAATAACCAAGGACATAAAAAGGTAAAGGAGATATGAGGAGATTCTTGGGGAAGAGAATCCTGGGTGGCGATTCCTGGTGAGATGTGCCATCGAAGACAGATG